AAAAAAAAACTAGTCGGCCAAACTTATACTGTCAGTCCGGCCAAATCTGGACACAAAACACATATATTGTGACTCGGATGCCGACCAAATGCATATCCTCAATTTCAAAGTCTAATCATTCTTTTTTCTTTTTCTTAATAAAATTTGAATGTTTACAAGTTTCTAGGTTGATCAATTTGATGAGGATTGGTTCAACACAAAATTATGATCCACATATTTGAATTGAGCACATTGTTAACCAATCTCATTTTCTCTATCCATTATTTTTCTCATTTTTAGGTTCCTTCTATATTCAAATTTTTATCATCAATTTTTTTTTCTCTCTTTATCCATTGTTGTCTCCATTTTTTTTTGGAAGAATAGAGATTCATAAAACGCACAAATGTGCAAACAAAGGCAAACATAACTGAATAATACAACTAAAAGGTGAATTAAATTGGGAGGTGTTTGTCCCATTTTTGTTGCGTTTTTCGTGTTTATTTTATCTTTCTTTTTCCCCCGTTTAGGTTGTTTCTTTAGTTTTTAGCCCGTTTCATGTTTTATTATGTGTTATGAAGGAAAACACATAATAAAACATGAAACGGGCTAAAAACTAAAGAAACAACCTAAACAGGGGGAAAAAGAAAGATAAAATAAACACGAAAAACGCAACAAAAATGGGACAAACAACTCCCCCACACTTAAACTTTTGTTCGTCCCGAACAAAAAGAAAAGAAAAGAAAAGAAAGGACACAAAACTAAAAACCCGAGCATGGACAACAGTCATTAACAAGATAAGCTTCAAAATATTTAACTTCAACAACAAGCATTCAAATGGCATATACGAGCACCACACAACTACATGCTTGATCACTATACTTCGACATGGCGTTCTCTCAGTATGGGAATATATATGTGTGCCTCACTCGAATTCTTATACAAATAAAGATAGGTGCACTCAAATTGGTCGATAACAAGTTTAATTATATGCTTGCCCATTGTCTAACTTCTACTCTAAACCAATCAAAATCGAAACTAGTGCATCAAAAGGTCTTTTCAGGTTGTAACGTAGGCTCTTTGGATAGGTAGGATAAATATAGGCTAAGTGGCTCGAATTCATTACATAACTCAAACACCTTACCCCAAGAATCATACACTCAACCGGTTGCTCAAACAAACCGGATTCTTCCCCACACTTTACCTAAAACCACACGTTTCACCTATCTTTTTTTTTATTTTTTTACTTTTTTTTTGTGTAACCTTTATTGGACATTTTATAATCCATTTGGCTACATTTTTTGTTCTCTTTTTTTTTGTTCTTATTTTTTTT